TAATGAATTTTCCTTCTCCACAAGCTCCATCTGCAGCTTCCAGTGCTGCCCCATGGGGCCAACCAGACTAAGTGGCCTCCCCCTTCACAGGTCAGCCCTTTGAATACTTGAAAACAGCTCCTCTCTCTCTTTCTCCTCCCCCATTCAGTGTCCTCTTCTCCAGTGTTAAACATTGCCCAATTGCCATGCCCAAAGTGACTTCTCACCTTCATTCTAGCAGAACAAGGGCAGGGGAAGGCATAATTAAGAGAAGTGACTTGTCCAAGATCCCTCAGGTCAAAGCAGCAAAACAAGGATTGAAACTCCAGTTCTCTGATCTAGGTTCCATTCCCTTTCCAGTATACCATGTGGACTGAGACTTGTACTTCATATCCTACTCAGGAGAGGAATTTCAGAAGATCAGAGCCCAATAAGAAACTATAGTGTGGTCTCTCTTACAGACCTTGTGGTATGTGGTGTGCATACCTCCTAAAGGCAGCAGCTACTACTATGACTTGTAGAAATCTAAAGAATTACTCGAACAGTGTCTCCTTCACACAGCTCCAGAGAAGGAAAATGTGTGTGTGTGTGTGTGTGTGTGTGTGTGTGTGTGTGTGTGTGTGTCCTGTCCTACTCTCTAACCAAGAGTAAATAAAGGATTTCCTTTCCTGCCTTTCCAAAGGCTCTGCCTTGCTTCTGGGAGCACTAAATAGGTGAACTTTTGTATCCAAGCAGAAGAGATAACAGGAAAAAGGATATCAAACAACAAGTGCCAGAAAAAATTAACTGTTTCAAAAGATAACACTTGACTCTCTTAATAGAGAAGATTCTTTTTGAGAAGGGCTCAACACTACCCATAGCCCTCCTGCTTAGAATTGAGTATCAAAATAAGGGAGGTTATCCTGTGACTAGATAACATCTCCAACATCACCAGCGAGCACTCATCAGAGACAATCTCAATTTCCAACCTAGGCTCACACATGCATAGTTCTACAGCTGGAAGGGATCCTCAAGGTCAGCTAGTACAAACTCCTCATCTTACAAATGAGGAAGCTGATGACTAGGGAGGCTGACTAGCCCTAGCCAGACCAGCAGTAAAATAGTCAGAGGCAGAATTTGAAAACAGGTCCTATAGAGTGTACCTACTCCCCCCTTGATAAATGAATTTCCAGGGGCAGCTAGGTGGCACAGTGGATAGAGCTCCAGCCTTGGAGTCAGGACTTGAGACTTGAGTTCAAATCTGGTTTCAGACCAGATACTTGACACTTACTAGCTGTGTGACCCTGGGCAAGTCACTTAACCCTGGTTGCCTCACCAAAAAGCAAAGAAAAAAAAAAAAGAATTTCCAGTCCCTCTACTGGGAAAAACACATTAAATGAAATAATGTCAAGAATATCAGATCAAGGATTACCAGCAGGTCACCATCACCAGTTTTTAACTGCTATCCCGCTACTGCTCTCCTCTGCTACCTGAACTTTCTCCGTACCTACCAAAGGCAATGGAGAGAAAGAGCACTAGAGGGAAAAAGTGGAGGATGATTTCATCTCTAGGGATTATAACTAACTGTGATGTTTAAGAACAATGACAACTGCCCCCCTGCTTCAATCCCATACTCCCAAGAAGCAGGCAAGGTTGTCAAGATTTAGGTGGGTCAAGGAAGCAAAATATCTTGCTGAGAACCTTGGCTTACAAACTGTGTCTGTACGCGGTCAATCCCTGTATTGTGGATTGTGCTTATACAACAGTCAATACGATACGCAGACGGCTGGGAGTGAAATTTTCAGTGTCCTAGAAGAGCCAAAGGCAACAATTTCTATGCAATTACTAGTTAGGTCCAGGGAAACTGAGAGCCCATTAACAAACCTACTCTTAGCTTAAGAAGCATTTGAACCAAAACAGTCAAACCAGGATTTACAAATAAAATATAGGGCAGAGTTCAAAAGAGGCCCAAAAAAGAAACCATGCACTGTCATTACACCTGAGCGTGGCCACCAAAACCCGATTTAATTTGTGCAGAGAAGCCCTACGGCAGCGAATATGGCCCAGGCAGAAAAAGCAGGCCCAAGCCAGAAGCCTGCCAACAAAGCTAGTCTTCGAACCACAAAGTATTAGGGTGCACAACCACTTCTATATAGTTAAAATCTACCGTCAGTCTTACCCTTTGGCATCAGACCCCAAAAGGTCTGCCGATGCTCAGTGTCCGCCCTGTGCAATGTTATGACCCATTTGGAGACAACCACCCTGGGTAATAAACAAGCAGTGGGTTTCAACTCGACTTCACACATTAAGCATTCTCCCCAGCTCCAAAAAAGCAATTTCCCAAATCACTCATATGTACTCAATTTCTTCTCCCTCCCCACCACAAAGTGTTTGAAGATCCCAAATGAGATTAGAGGGGAGGGGTAAAAAGGGGGAGAGGCTTCTGGATAAAGGGACAACTAGGAGGAAAAGAGCCCTAAAGGGGGGAGAGGGAGAGAAAAGAAAACACTGGAGGGTGGCTGGTGAGCTTCAGGAGTGAGGGCTGGTTCTGATTAGGTCTGAACAACTGCAAAACTACACAGGAAGTGCTTGGGGGCCTCTTGGTCAGCCCCATTCCAAATACACTGCCGACCTTTGTGTTACAAGGCACCATCTGGAATCAGTTAGAACTAAGCCCTTCCCAAAAGATGCACTCCCTCACTCTCTCAAAAACCTCTTTGCTAGGCCTTTCGACCTGGCAGCCTTTTCTCCCCTAACCCTAATAGCACTATCTCAGAAGCCTAGTTTTCCCCATACCTCCCTCCCACAATGGCCTCCTTCCACTGTTGGGCAAACAAAAGATTTACAGGAGATCTGGAAACCTTCAGCAAAGCATGCCGGTGTCCTCTGCAGTCATGAGGCCCCCATGGCATTACAACTTACACTGAACTAAATTAAAATTCCCTTTTTACACAATCCTGCTTTAAATAGACATGCCAGTTTTGTGTAATCAAAGTCACCTACTGGGTTGTTTGTTTTTGTTTTTTTTTAAAGAATTCAAATGATTCTTACAAGCCTTTTGTAAAAGCAAGAATTTTTCCCCTTTGGCCTCCCCTAAAGCATAAGCAACAAATAAAAAGTGGATTGTTTGACTTGGGAATCAGGCAGACCTGAGCCCAAGTTCTGCTTCAAAACACTTAGCTGTGTGGTGATGGACTTACACTCTTAATCCCTGTCAGCCTCAATTTCCTCATCTGTCATATAGGGATAATAATAGCACTGACCTCCTAGGGTTGAAGTGAAAATCAAATAACACATATAAAGCCCTTTGTAAATCTTAAAGCACTCTAGAAATGCTAGCTATTATTACATTCTATTACCAAAAAAGAAATGTTTTTTACCTAAGGTAAAATGCCAAGATTTATTTTTACCCAAAAGGTCTGTTTTTACTTTAAAAAAAAGAAAAAAAACTTGATCCTGGTGCTTTCACGAAAAAACGGGAGTGCAAAATTTGTTGCTCAATCATGTGGAATTCTTCGTGACCCCATGAACTGTTTTTCCAATGGGGTTTTCTTAGCAAAGACATGGAGTGTTTCGCCATTTCCCTCTCTAGCTGTCCATCCTGGGTAACAGCACAGTTCACAGTGTCACTGAGTCACACAAGTCCCTCAGCCAGACGAGGTAGCCGATCCAAGAGGAGCTTTTAGGCAAACAGAAAACAAGAGTTGAGTGACTTGCCCAGGGTCACAAAACTACTAAATGTCTGAAGCTGGATTTGAACTCAGGTCTTTACGTCTCCAGAATAAGCACTCTATTCACTTCACTTGAGTGAGGAAAGAAAGGTTCAGTGGCTTGCACAAGGTGTCACCACCAGGTAACGCACCCTCAGCACTTCACAACTGGACTCCTCAAAGAGCCTGCCTCCAGCCTGTCTCCCACTCACCCCTCTATTCAGTCATTTCACTGGCTCCCTTCCACCTTCCCTCCCACCCCCAAGGACTCTTCAGGCCAGTGACACTGGCCCCCACATCTCTTTCCTCTGGGCATTTTTTCCTATCTATTCTCCCATGCCTGGAATGCTCTCTCTCCCCAGTAAGCCTTCTGGCTTCCCTGAAGCGTCAGCTGACATCCCACCTTCCTAAACCCTCTTCATTCTGGTGCCTCCCAGCTCTTAATTCTTTCTGGTTTATCCTGTTTATAGCTTGTTTTGCACATATCAGTTTGCCTATTGGCTCCAGTGTTAGACGATAAGTTCCTTGAGGACAGGGACTGCCTTTCTCTGTATCTCGAGGCTTAGCACCGAGCCTGACTCTGGCTCATAGAAGATGCTTAATAAATGCTTCCTGACTATCTGACTGGAATCCAGGTTTCCTGATTCCCAGGTCAGTGCTCTTTCTTTTAGATCACACGGGCTTGTGCAGAAGTTTACAAGCATTTATGACCTGCATGCTGTGTTTAAGAGACCAACTGGGTGTGGGGGTACTGCGACCAGAAAGCCAAACAGTCCCTGCTCTCAGCGACTGGGGAGGAAGGAACAGACAAGAGTAGGGGTGCCTCGAGCGAGGCACACGTGGCCCCCTTTGACTGAATCCAAACTTCACAGAACAAAACCCCTTAACAAAAAGATTTGTTCTGTGAAACTTAGACTCAGTCAAAAGGCCGCACCCGAGGACCCAGAAGGCCACATGTGGCTTGAGGATACAGATTCCCCACCCCTGATCTACAGCATGTACCTAGATAAGTAAAAATATATATTTGGAAATTAAGTGCAAAGTAATTAGGGGGTGGGAGAGCATGAACCATTTAAGAAAGTCTTTGTGAGGTGAGCCTGAAATGTCCCTAGAAATCAGGTCCTTTAACTCCAAATCCAGTGATGACTCAGTGGCTAGAGCACTGAGCCTGGTGTCAGGAAGACTCAAGTTCAAATCCAGTCTCAGACCCTTACTAGTTATTTGACCCTGGGCAAGTCACTTAGCCTATGTCTGCTTCAGTTTCCTAAACTGTAAAACAGGGATAATATTAGCAACCAACTCAAAGGGTTGTTGTTGAGAATCAAACAAGAAAATATTTATAAAATCACTTAGCATAGTGCCTGACACACAGAGGCACTAGATAAATATTTAGGTCTTCCCTCCCCTCCCCTCCCCTCCCCTCTTTGTACTACATCACTATTAAGAGCCCCTTTACTGGGGCTACAATACACAAAAGATTTACAGGAGAACTGGAACAAGGCAGCTGGGTGGTGCAACGGACAGCACAGCAAGCCTGGACACTCATCTTCCTGAGTTCA